GACTAGAAGACAGGAGGGGACAGGAAAGCTGGTAATAGGGAACCCAAGGTTGAGATGGGAGAGTGTTGACATGTCGTGGGGTTAACCAATGTCATAAAACAATATGTGTACTGTTTAATGAGAAACTATTTGTTCTGTAAACTTTCCTCTGAAGTACAATTAAAAAAAGAAAACTTGAAAAAAAAAATAAAAAATTCAGGTCTGCACTGGTGTCACTTCCTCAGCCATGACTGAACTCCAGAGAACCAGTTCAAAGCCCTAGTTCGAACTGCTGACCTTCCGGTTAGCAGCCGAGCACTTCACCACTGTGCCATTAGCAACCCTATATACGGGGATAGCAGGACACTTGAAAGGGAAGGGGAGGAATCCCAGGACAGTTGCCAAAAAGCAGCCCTGGTTGGCAAACTCCTAAACAAGGATGAAAGAAAGGTGAGAGTTTTTGGACCATGGGGTAATGACAGACTCCCCTCCCCCACCCTCCAAGTAAGCTGAGCACTGGACACAAATTTAACCCCAACAAGCCCTGGCCTTGGAGTAGGAGAACAGGGATCAAATCCTAACCCCATCATTGCCATTTGGCAAGCTCTCTAATTCCCTGAGCTTCAGTTTTCCCAACTGCAAATTGGGAATAACCTCATAGGGCCGTGGGAGAAGTTTAAGAGGCAACGGATGGGAATTTGCTTTTGCCACGCAGTTCCGGTGTTAGGAGTGACCCCTGTCCCCAGCCTTGTGAGGAGGGAAAACAAACGGGCTTGGGGCTCAGGAAGACAAGTTTGAATCTTGGCTTTACCACTTACTGTGTGATCTTGACAAGTCACTTCACCTCTCTAAACTTCATCTGCAAAGCAGGGTGATAATCCTTGCAGGGTGGCTGTGAGGATTTGGTGAGCTCAGGCAGGCCAGGGCCTAGCTTCGGGTAGGGTGCTTGGTAAATGTTGTTTCTGCCTTTCTCCCTGTGCATCTCTTAGGGCAGGCAGCCTCTCTGCCTTGTAGGCTGGCTCTTTACCCTCTTCATCTGTGCAAGGGAGGGGCTAAGGCTATTGTCATTTTTCCTGTCAGAGGGGTGCATGCGGTAAACCACTCAGGAACTGCAAAGCAGCAAACATAATTCCTAATGGCAGCACCACACTGGGGACTGAAGGGGGTGGTGGGAGGTGCTGCCTTTGACAAAGCTCACCCTGGTCAAGCCTTCCATAGAGGCTTGGCTTGACCTCTCTGCCTCTGGTTTGGCCAAAGCACCAGAAGGCTGGGTTGGGGCCAATGAGGGAATGATGACCTAGACCCCTGGAGTACATTCTCATAGCTATCCTGCTCACATGCTCAGTGGAGGAGCACGGGCAGGCCTCTACAGACAGGGATGAAAGGACATCAGAATGTGAGGAAGGGGCCAGGAGGAGTCAGTGCTTGGTACAAGCCTCCCACCCCAACCTCACACAGGAGAAAACAGTTCCAGGGCACTGAAAGCCTCCAAGAAACTTCCCCTCTAGGCTGCTCTAACTCTGGGTCTAGTTTCCATACAAAGCTAGCCTGGACCAAGCTGCTTAAGCAGTAGCCACGGGTGTGGCAGCTGAAGGCCACGGGGAGGGAGTGCTCTGGGAGTCAGGATGCTAGTGGCTACTAGTCAGTGAGGTGGCCTGAAGCAAACTACTGCCCCTTTCAGCCCGGACCTGCCTCTGCATCCTTCGGTGGATGTTCCCACGAATGAAGGATTCAAATTAGGCACCAGACTGTATTGTCCCATTCCCCAGACCCTCACCTCCACAACACCCACCCAGATGATCTTTCTAACCCACCAATCTGATCCAGGTGCCTCTGCTGCTCACGCTCCTCCCTTGGCTGTCCATCACCCACAGGATGGACATGTTCTTTTGGCAGGATTTCACGGCCCTTCAGATCTGGCCCATCAACCTCTCCAGTCTCATCTCCTACTCCTTTCCCATCTTCTAGCCACACCAGGTGCTCACGGCTTCCACCTCCTGGCCTTTGCCCACGCTGTAGACTCTACCTGAACACCATTCCCTTTCTCAGACTAATCATCCCAGGCCCAGCAGCAATGTCATCTCCTCTGGACTTCCCTAGTTTACCGTTTCCTCCTCGATGCTCCCATAGCACTTTGCCCACGACTCTACTGTACTCATTCATCAGTCAGTCCACCGTGAACTGAGCCACTATGCTGAGCCAGGCCCTGCACTGGGGCACAGAGTGAAGAGGTTCCTTTCCTGGGGGAGCTCCTGGCTCAGTGTAGAGGCAGACACTGCAGGCAGAGTGACAGCACAGGACGGAAAGGCTAAACTTGGCACAGTCTCCCATGTTTCCCTGCATCACAATATGGCTGTCTTTTGATCACTGGCTTTGTCTCCTCAAGGGCAGGTGTCATGGAATGAATTGTGTCCCCCCAAAATATGTGTCAACTTGGTTAGGCCATGATTCCCAGTATTGTGTGGTTGTCCTCCATTTTGTGATTGCAATTTTATGTTAAAGAGGATTAGGGTGGGATTGTAATACCCTTACCCAGGTCACATCCCTGATCCAATGTAAAGGGAGTTTCCCTGGGGTGTGGCCTGTACCACCTTTTATCTTACAAAAGGTAAAAGGAAAGGGGAGGAAACAGAGTTGGGGACCTCGTACCACCAAGAAAGCAGTGCCGGGAGCAGAGCACGTCCTTTGGACCTGGGGTTCCTGTGCAGAGAAGCTCCTAGTCCAGGGGAAGACTGATGAGAAGGACCTTCCTCCAGAAGGAGAAAGCCTTTCCCTGGAGCTGATGCCCTGAATTTGGACTTCTAGCCTACTAGATTGTGAGAAAATAAATCTTTGTTAAAGCCATCTACTTGTGGTATTTCTGTTATAGTGGCACTAGATGACTAAGATACCTCCTGAGATTTACTCACCCTCTCTGATCCGTGGTTTCTTCCCCCACAGCAGCTGACATTGAGGGCTTGCTGAGAGGGCCGAATGGATTGACACACATGAAAGACTCCTATGGCCACGAAAGGGTTGAACAAATGCAAGTGTTTGTCCCACTAACTGCACTTGTCACATGCTGCCCTGGCACTGTGACTTCTGTCATTTACTCCTGAAGAGATGGTAAAGATCTCAATAGCAGAGACTCCCCCTCCTCTTATGCTGTGACCTCATATCCAGTTTGCTCAAGCTGTGCCCAAGAAATTTGTCTTTTCACTGACAATAAGTCAGTCACTCCACCACATTCTGATAGATCTCACCTTCTCCTCTGCTTTTCTCTAGACCAGGCCTTCCCTCCATTCTCTCTGCCACTGCCCTAGCTAGCTAAGGGCTCATCCTCTCTCACTTGGGTCCCTCCCACCGCCTCTTCCCTGCCTCAACCATCAACGCCCCAAACTGCACTGGAGTGCTCTAAAAACCAATCTGACCACAGTTATTTCCCTACCTAAAGCTCTCCCAAGAACACTACCCCCCATCCCAGTATCTCAAGAGTGGCACTCAAGGACCTTCCTAAGATCAAGCCCCAGTCTCCCTTGTTCCAGCCTTTTTCCCATTTCCTGGGCTCCAGCCACTTCAGGCCCCCTAGGCCAACCTCAAACAGCCTGGTACCTCCCCTTTTTAAAGGGTTTATGCCTATCCTTCTGCTCCACACCCCCCTCCCCCCACACACATCCGTCTGCAAAACTCCTACTCATTTATGGCCAATGAAAATAATTTTAGAGCACTTTCTATGTACCAGGCCCTATGCTAGGCTATTTTTTTTTTTTTTTTTTCATATCTTACCTCATTTAGTTCCCATAGCACCACACAAACTGTTATTCCTGTTTTGCCGATATAGAAACTGAGATTCAAAAAGACAAGGCCAGAACAGGACTCCAGGTCTATCTGGTTCCAAACCTGCTGTGCACTGATCTCTCTAGGACAGAGGTCTCTGGGATAGATAGCAGCAGTGTTCTCTCTCCTCTGTGCTTCCACTGCTCTCTGGCTTCCCTTTTGTCTCAGCATTATTGCCAGCATCTGCGTGAGGCTGTGGCTGCCAGCCCCCACCAGTGTGAACTCCTCAAGGGCAGGGCCTGGGCTGATGAGCCTGGGTCCCCAGCACTCAGCAGTGTACAGATCCCCTGAGGGGCTTCTTATTTTTAAATTTAGTATTTTAAAAAATATTGATGTGTAATGGTTGTAAAAATTTTTTTCTTTACATTCTTTTTTTAATTTTATTTTGTTGTTCAGACTATACAAAGTAAACCATACACCAATTCAACTGTTTTCTACATGTACAATTCAGTGACATTGATTACATTCTTCAAGTTGGACAACCATTTTCATGCTCCTTTTCTGAGTTGTTCCTCCCTCATTAACATAAACTCACTGCCCCCTAAGGTTCCCATCTAATCTTTCCAGTTGCTGTTGTCACTTTGATCCCGTAGAGATAGTTCTTAAAAGAGCACAATGCTCTAGGCAGTCTTTTTTACTCCTTAAGTTAAACTATTATTTGGTTTTAAAAAGACTCCTGAGGAGTTTCTTGATAAACAGTTGGAAAGGTAAGGTAGCGTGGACGGTTTAGGAGCTCAGCCCTAACCTAACTAATCCCAGACCACCGACCATAAGCAGGACCTTTACCTCTGCAGCCAAGGCAAGGCCAACCCAAAAGAACAAAAAGAGGCGCCTGCACGCCCTCGGAATGCCTTGCACGTGCTCTGCTTCCTCGGCCCACGTTCCAGCTGCCGGGCCATACCAATTTCTACTGGGGAGGGATGGGGCAGACCGAGGGAGTAGCTGGAATAACCAGGCTCACCTGTTGGAATGAGGATTCGTGCACCATGTCTCTCCACCATTCCACGTATTCCGCACACCACAGGGTCGCCAGCGCTATCTTCGGCCAGCGCCAAGCCAAGACCCAGGCACCCTTCCCTCCCTCCCCCCGCGCGGAAGTGCTGCGGGCCGCGGGTCGGAACGCCCCGCCCCGCCCCAGCCCGCGTCTTGATCCTCCCCGTCTGTGAGGTTATAAAGTGCAGCGCTCCGAACAGCGAGCCTAGTGGTTGCAGTGTTGGTTTCGCTCTCCTCTTTTGTTTGGCAGCCGCGGCTCCCGGTTCCCTGTGTTCCGTGTGCCCGTATCCGCCCGCTTCAGCGCCGTCCCTGGGCTCCTGTGCGCTGCGCGTAGCCCTGGCCCCGGCGGCCGGGGCATGGGCCAGGGGAGCGGGGTAGGGCGGCTTTCCGCGGGGCCTTGACCTGCACCGGCTTCAGCATGAAGACCCTCATAGCCGCCTACTCCGGGGTCCTGCGAGGTGAGCATCGGGCAGAAGTGAGAGCTCTAATGGAGGATCTGTGCTATCACATGAAGGGTCTGAGGGATGGGCTGTCACAGCGGAGGGGTCTGCAGAGCCTTGGAGACTTTGATTCTGGAATTGTGAAACTGAATGAAGGTTTTCGGGAAAGGATGTAATGAAGGGCTTTAAGGCAGGCTGCCTTATGATGAGGGCACGTTGTTGGAGGACTGGCCGCAGCCCAAGTTGAAGTCCCATCCCCTTCCTTTTATTTTGGGGAAGCTTGCACCCTCTGCCCTCAGATCATCTGGAGATGAGATGAGGGGAGAAGAATGGTTACCAAGTCTTCTCCAGGCAGCCTGGCATCGTGGTCAAGTCTGGGTACCATTCTCCACTCTGGCGCTCATCAGCTCTTGTGACCTCTGCTTCATCGCTTCCCTTCTCCTGAATTTTTCTCTTTTGTGAGGTGGGAGTGATACCACGTTCCCTACTCTGTTACGAAGGATAATTCCTGTCCAGCCCCCAGCACCGTTGGTGGTCCCTGGCAGTTTCTTCCCCCCTCGCCTGACCAGGTGGAGCAAGCTTTGGCAGTGTGAGACTGGATGAGGCAGTTGGCATGGGTTTTGCAGTCTCCTGACTCGGAACATGCCCCACGCCCATCCTCTGTCTTTCCACTAACCAGGCCTTCCCTCTATTCTCCTACCACTGCTGTAGTTCAGGGCTCATCCTCTCTCACCTGGGTCCTTCCCACTCAACAGCAACTCTGAGTTGGGCACACTTAGAAGATGCAGCAGACCCTGGGTGTCCTCCAGTCTGGCCTACACTTCTGGGTTACCAGCATGGAGCTAAGGTCCTCAGTGAATCAGGGGCAAAGTTTAGATCCCAGAACTTTTTCCACTCAAGGAAGAGCATTCTTTCATTTTTTTCTGCCCCCCACCCCCGGGGTCCCCCTTCCACCTTATAGTTGGAGAAACTGAAGAAGTGAGAGAAGGCATGACCTGCCCAAGGTTTCCTTAAAAGATGCCTTGATCAGGGGATTAAATACAAATATGGAAGATCCTGGGGGTTATCACAGCTGTCCTGGTCTACGTGTCTGTCTCTCTCAGAACCTTCCTCTCTCTTACTTAGGATTTTTCTTTAGTAACTAACTGTTGCCTACTCCTTCCCTCACCTTCATTATAAAAATAAAACATGTTACTTACTGAAATTCCGAAAAATATAGACAAACAGAAAATAAAAATTTCTGGTAAATTGACTATCGAAAGATAACTTCCTGTTAACATTTTACTATATTTCTTTATAATTTTATTTATATGTATTATATAGATAAGAAGCTCTAGTGGCGCAGTGGTTAAGAGCTCGGCTGCTAACCAGAAGGTTGGCCGTTTGAATCTACCAGCTGCTCCTTGGAAACCTTATGGGGCGGTTCTGTTCTGTCCTATAGGGTTACTATGAATCAACTTGACAGCACTTAACAACAACATATAGATGGAGTTGAGGGCATGCTGTAGATAATAGTTCTGAATCCTGTTCTTTCCTTCTTAATATTAAATCACAAGTATTTCCTTGTGTTACTTAAAATCATTTATAACATTCTAGTGGCAGCAAGGTAACCCATCCTGAAGCTGCATCATGGTTTAACTGTGTTCTGGACATTGGCATTATTCCCTCTTGGGATTATCAATGTGGTGCTAGGTCCTTGTCTGCCCCTCTAGGTCTGGGTGCTACTTGTTGCCCTTGGAGAGGTTCTGAGCAGCGAGCAGACTGTGCTGCCCCACCATCATACCTGATAGCCCCTGACAACCCCTTCTCTCACTTGAGTGCCTTTTTATCCCCGTGCCCTTTGATGTCTATATCAGGAGAACAGAGAGACTTGCCCATGTCTTTGTCTCCAGATAATGGGGTATGGAATGCCCCCTGTGGTGGTCCTTCTTTGAGATCCCCTTCCTTTGGGTCTGTGCTCCACAGGCTGTGAGCTGTATCTTCCAGGAGCCAGGGACTCTGGCTCTCAAGTTTTTGGTCTAGAGTTTGTTCTCAGAAGGACTTCTATTCTAGCAAATGGTTTTGGGCAAATTACTTAATATCATATCAGGATCATTTCCTCATGTTGTCAGATCTGGAAAACATGATTTTTTACTGGCTGCAAGGAATTCCATCATGGGATGTAGCAAGGGCTGGTATGAAATGTAAACCAGTTTAGCTTGCTGGGATCTGCTTTTGTGAAAAACTGGGTGGAGTAGGGGAGGATGCTGATGGAAGTTTTGTGTTATCTGGGCATCTCCATTAGACCTGCTTTCTACATCCTTGGTCCTTGAAGACACTCCCCAGTGGCCTAGTTTGCCTCTACAGATAAGATCCCACTGTTGTGAGGTGGTGAACATCCTGTCCGTGACAATATTCAGGGAGAGACCATGGATTCTGTGAAGGGCAGTTCTGTGCTGGGTGAGAGATTGAAACAGATACCTTGGTGTCTGGTTCCTTGGCCAAAAGAAAAGGCCCAGCTGTTGGGGAGAATGGTAGGGTGGGTAGGTATTTGGGGGGGCGGGGAATCTGAGTTGCTGTTTTCTAATCTCCAAAGTATTGCTGAGTATGGAGGCTGCAAATTTAGCCACATGTGCATCCCTGCCTTTGCCCCTGAACAGAGGACTCTTCAGGTCAGAGCTGTCTGACACCTGCCCATATCCCTGGTGTTCAACACAGGGCTCAGCATGAGATGTTCTGAGCTGATTTATTCTCTGTGGCTCTAAAGAGCAAGACCAGGAACAAGGATGGGGTTTATAGGAGAGTGGGGGCAGGGAGGGAGTGGGAAGGAGGTTTTGATGTATTGGAGGAATCCTTTCTAAAAACTGTTGAGGACTGTAACTCACTGGGGTGGGTGGGGATGGAGTTCCCCATCACTGAGGGTATGCAAGCAGGGGCTTGGTAGGAGGTGAGAGTAAGTAGCTAGATGGTTGGGGGTGACTCTGGAACTGAGGGTTGACAGCCACTTAATCCCATCCTGGATCGTAGGATAAGAACATCACTCATATTCTCCTCTCCCCCAATTCTGTGTGGCTTTCCCCCTCCCTTGTACCACTCCCCAACTGCACAGAGACCATAACAGGGTGAGAATGTCAGCCCCTTGGGAGCAGGGACTTTGTCTGCTCAGTGTTGTGTCCCTAGCATCTAGCACAGTGCCTGGCAGGTAGTAACCAAACCAAGCCCAACCCGTTGCTGTCAAGTTGATTCCAACTCATAGCGAGCCTATAGGACAAAGTAGAACTGCCCCATAGGGTTTCCAAGGAGCGCCTGGTGGATTCAAAATGCCGACCTTTTGGTTAGTAGCCGAACGCTCAACCACTGCACCCTAGGGCTCCTGGCAGGTAGTAGGCACTCATTAAATATTTATTGAATGAATGAATAACTAATGGGACAAGCCTTCCTGAGAGCTGCCCCACCCTTCTTGGCAGGAAGACTTGCTCTTAGTTTCAGTGTGATTATCCAGGCCTTCCTCGGGCCTTCTCTGTGCCCACCTGTGCTGAGTGCTGGGGATACAGCTGCTCCCTGCCTTGGAGACACTCTCAGTCTGGCGAGGAGCTGGCTCTGGGACTGAGCCCCAAGTGGGTGGGGCTGGGCTTACCACAATCCTCCTCCTCACATCCTGGGCTTAGAAGCCAGGGGACCAGAATTCCAGCCCTGGCTTCCTTCTGGAACATGGCCTGGCTGCTCACTTTCCCTAGCGGATCTCACCCTCCCTATCTGGAAAATAAGATTGTTGTTGTTAGGTGCTGTAGAGTCGGTTCCGACTCATAGTGACCACATGTACAACAGAACAAAACACTGCCCGGTCCTGCACTGTCCTCACAGTCATTGCTATGTTTGAGCCCATTGTTGCAGCCACTATGTCATTCCATCTCGTTGAGTGTCATGGATTGAATTGTGTCCCCCCAAAATATCTGTCAGCTTGGCTGGGTCATGATTCCCAGTATTGTGTGATTGTGTTATCTGATATGATTTCCTTATGTGTTGTAAACTCTATCACTATGATGAGATGTATATGTGATCTCCTTATGTGTTGTAAATTCTGTCACTGATGAGGTTATTCTGATGAGGTTGACAAGATTAGTGTCTTAAGGCAATCTCTTTCGAGATACAGAAGAGGGAAGCGAGCAGAGACACATGGAAACCTCGTACCACCAAGAAAGCAGTGCCGGGAGCTGAGCGTGTCCTTTGGACCTGAGGTTCCCGTGCAGAGAAGCTCCCAGACCAAGGGAAGACTGATGACATGGACCTTCCTCCAGAGCCAATGGTGAAAGCATTCCCCTGGAGCTGAAGCCCTGACTTGGACTTGTAGCCTACTGGACTGTGAGAGAATAAACTTCTCTTTGCTAAATCCATCCACTTGTGGTATTCCTGTTAGAGCAGCACCAGATGACTGAGACAGAATTTGGTACTGGGAGTGGGGTGCTGCTCTAACAGATACCTAAAATGTGGAAGTAGTTTTGAAACTGTGAATAGATAGAGGTGTGGCAGCGACATAGAACCAGCAGCAGCAGAACCAGGAGACCAGCCCAAGACGGTGCTGGAGCCGACCCACGGAGCGAGAGAGCTGAGTGCCTGTGCGCTGGAGGCTTCCTGGCAGAGTGGGGTGCCTTCGGGCACTTATCGGTGGAGTTAGGCTTGCTGACCCACAGAGCGAGGGAGCTGAGTGCCTGTGTGCAGGAGGCTTCCTGGCAGAGTGGGGTGCCTCCAGGCACTTAATCAGTGGAGCTACCGAGCTTTGGAACACTTGCCCCAGTAGGGCAGATGCGGGCGTGAGGCCTGAGGGGCGAGAGACCACAGGAAGCAGAAGCTGAAGAGACAAGGAACACAAGAAGCTGAGTTGCCTCAGTCTCAAAAGGTATGGCCGAGACCTCTGGGGTTTCAAAGGGTGGAGCCATGGCCCCTGGTGTTTCTAAGGGTGGAGTTGTCACTCCGATGGACTAGGAGAACGGTGCGCCTTAAGCCAAGGGAGCAGCCCAAGGCCGAGGGGCCTCCACGCA